CAGACTCATACAGAGACACAAACTCACAGAAACCAGGGACTCACACAGAGACCCAAAGAGAAACTGCCAAACAGTGGCTTCATCATCACCACGACCACCAGCCATTATCATCACTACGACCACCATCCACAATTATCCCCATCATCATCATTACAGATTGCCATCATAATCCTCACCACCACCAGTGATTATCCTAATCATCATGATCACCATCATGATTTTCATCGCATGTCCCCTCCCCACATTCCGGTCATCAGCAAGTCCACTTGCACGTGGTCGTCACGTGGGACTGGAGGCCCCTGGGGTGGCGTCAATACGGAGGGCAACAGGCCGGTGTGCGGAGTGTCTGCCTGTGCACACTCCTCCTCCTGGAGCTACACCCCAACCAACACAACAACAACAACACACAACGCCCGGCCGACGTTTTAAATAAAATCATGACGTTTTACAAAATACTCTTATTAAAAATGGAGAGCGAGGGAAAAAAATATATAGAGCATTCAACCACAGGCAAAGAGATCAAGTATTTGCTACAAAAACATAACTTTAACCATAAAAAAATTCAAGCTGGTGTTCAAGAAACATTGTGTCGCAGCTCTACGCGACCGAAAGTCGCGTCAGAAGGCGCCTCGCCTGTGCTGAACGTCGCTGACGCAATGCCGGCGACGTTCACGCTAATTCCCAAACCTCGCCGCTTGCACCGACAGCCAACCAGAGCCCGGCAAAGCGCGGCGCCTCCGTCACGGGAGAAGCGCCGATCAGCGTCACCGTCTTGAGACGTTTATGATAATAATGATAAATCATTATAATTATAGCAGAAACTCTCTCCCTCGTGTGGACAGAACAACACGGTCACTCCAGCCCGACTGTGGCGAGACGCCTGTGCAAAGCCATCAGCTCCATCACCACCGCCACCACCGCCACTAACACCACGGCGTCCACATCGTTAGCCGCACAGCGAATATGGACGTGATGGCGACGTTCGCGTCGCCCGTTCCAACATAGTCAACGTCTGTTCCCGTGAGTGATTGAAGAGCGCTCGTCACCCTGGTTGGGATGCGGAGCTGGCGCCAGGGATCACGGTACACAGCGAGCGGCTCGCAACCTCGGCCAGTGACCCCGACAGTCCGCGAGCCGCGTTATCCGTGGCCCCAAATGGGTCTGCGAAAACTCGCGTTTACCCGTGGCCGAGCTCACCCTGTTATCCGCATCTTCACTCAGATAGGACATGCGGCCACAGTCGGATCTGCCTGCTGATTCATTCATCTGATTGTCCTCGTGTGTGCGTTCTCCACAGCGACCCCAATGGCAATTCGGCGCTGTATATCGCAGTGTTTTGCATCGAACTAAGACCCATATCAAACACAGAGTGGGTACCTTGCCTATAAACATCCGGCAGTTCACCAGCATTTGCTCAAGCAGGCTTAGCTCTGCTAAGATACTGAATGTGGAATCCGGTCAAGAGTTTGCCTGTTTTAAACCAATGCTGCTGAAGTGATTCCCAGAAGGCTGCGTGGCTGGAGGGATGTGGGCACTGTGTTTACGCGGAGGGGACCATCGGCGTTGGTACTGACCTCTCGTTCTCTCGTCCCACGAGTGCCATCTCTGCAGGGCCTCACATCTCCATCTACTCAATCTCCCGCATCTATCAGATCCTCACCCCAGCTGCCACCGAGACCTCCACTCACGCCGAATTGACTATTGCAACTGTCTCTAAAAACTGCCTCCCCACGTCCCTCACCCCACCCACGTCCCTCACCCCCCCACGCCCCTCACCCCCCACGTCCCTCACCCCCCCCCCCACGTCCATCAACCCCCCCCCACGTCCCTCACCTCCCCCACGTCCCTCACCCCCCCCCCCCACGTGCATCTCCCCACATCCCTCCATCGGCGGGCCAATTAAATTCCAAGTCAATATCAACATCTTTAAGAACCTCCTTGGACTCGCCCTTCCTACATCTCTCCTCTCATCTCACTCTACTCCCCTCCACGCACACTCCTGCCTCTCCCCTTTAATCTCACTCTGCTCCCCTCTACTCTGCTCCAGGAAGTGAGGCTTTCTGTCAAAGCGCCAGGCAACCTTCGCTCAGTGGGAGGTCGCTCACTCTCCTCTGCTGCCCCCAGCCATCTCCCAGCAACCCGTGCTGTCGACTCCCTGCATCTGTTCAAGTCCTGGCTCCAGACCTTCCTCCTCTCCTCTGCCGATTGCTGCCTGCCTCACTCTCTCGACATCAAACGAGCAAAGACATTTCCCAAGGATGTCCACTTCGCACAGTCCTGTGCAGCATTTCGAGATGTGGCCGCGTGCAGGCGCTCTCTGAATCCGTGCCACGGTTGTGCTGAGTATCACGGCAAGGGAGATAACGACCCAAATCCGCAAATTTGATTATCTGCCAACTGCTCCCCCCACCTCTCCACATGATTGCGGATAAGAGGAGTATCACGGCGTCGTGTACATCAGGGGATGGAATCCCGTGAGTCACGGGACGCATGCTGGCGGAGCGCACGAGTCGCGAGTCGGAGCCACCTCCTGCTGCTCGCACGACACCGAGGCGTCGGTGCTCATCTCCCGTTTACGGCCCTGCAGATCCAGCGGTGAAAACTCTACATTCCTATGGCAGGGGCGAGTCTATCTACTGCGCAGCCACTGTCGACGTCCCCACAATGGGGGTACTTGGCGGTACTCGTTTTATTGACCACGCAGCGAAGGGATGGTGATGATGGGCCGAGTCGCGGCGTTCTGGTTGCGTGCCGCTCGCTCTGCCGGCGAGCCGCCACGCCATGGCGGCGTTCCTCCCTCTGATCTCTGCGGCTGCGCGGTTCATGATGACGCCTGTCCCCAACAGACTGGGCCGGCAAAAACGACCTTCGGGGAATTTACAAAGAGCGGTCTCAGCCATCCGTGTCCACTGGGGGGGGGGGGGGGGGCACGTGCAGACGAACATTGGGGGACGGTCACACGTCGGCTCATTGAGAGGCACACGGTCGGCTTTAACGGGGGTGGGGGGGGGGTGGCATGGGGTGGGTTTAAAGGGGCACGGTTGGGTTTAAAGTGGCACGGTTGGGTTTAAAGGGGCACGGTTGGGTTTAAAGTGGCACGGTTGGGTTTAAAGGGGCACGGTTGGGTTTAAAGGGGCACGGTTGGGTTTAAAGGGGCTTGGTTGGGTTTAAAGTGGCACGGTTGGGTTTAAAGGGGCACGGTTGGGTTTAAAGGGGCACGGTTGGGTTTAAAGGGGCACGGTTGGGTTTAAAGTGGCACGGTTGGGTTTAAAGGGGCTTGGTTGGGTTTAAAGGGGCACGGTTGGGTTTAAAGGGGCACGGTTGGGTTTAAAGTGGCACGGTTGGGTTTAAAGGGGCACGGTTGGGTTTAAAGTGGCACGGTTGGGTTTAAAGGGGCTTGGTTGGGTTTAAAGGGGCACGGTTGGGTTTAAAGGGGCACGGTTGGGTTTAAAGGGGCACGGTTGGGTTTAAAGGGGCACGGTTGGGTTTAAAGGGGCACGGTTGGGTTTAAAGTGGCACGGTTGGGTTTAAAGGGGCACGGTTGGGTTTAAAGGGGCACGGTTGGGTTTAAAGGGGCTTGGTTGGGTTTAAAGTGGCACGGTTGGGTTTAAAGGGGCACGGTTGGGTTTAAAGGGGCACGGTTGGGTTTAAAGGGGCACGGTTGGGTTTAAAGTGGCACGGTTGGGTTTAAAGGGGCTTGGTTGGGTTTAAAGGGGCACGGTTGGGTTTAAAGGGGCTTGGTTGGGTTTAAAGTGGCACGGTTGGGTTTAAAGGGGCACGGTTGGGTTTAAAGTGGCACGGTTGGGTTTAAAGGGGCTTGGTTGGGTTTAAAGGGGCACGGTTGGGTTTAAAGGGGCACGGTTGGGTTTAAAGGGGCACGGTTGGGTTTAAAGGGGCACGGTTGGGTTTAAAGTGGTACGGTTGGGTTTAAAGGGGCTTGGTTGGGTTTAAAGGGGCACGGTTGGGTTTAAAGGGGCACGGTTGGGTGTAAAGGGGCTTGGTTGGGTTTAAAGGGGCACGGTTGGGTTTAAAGGGGCACGGTTGGGTTTAAAGGGGCACGGTTGGGTTTAAAGGGGCACGGTTGGGTTTAAAGTGGCACGGTTGGGTTTAAAGGGGCTTGGTTGGGTTTAAAGGGGCACGGTTGGGTTTAAAGTGGCACGGTTGGGTTTAAAGGGGCTTGGTTGGGTTTAAAGGGGCACGGTTGGGTTTAAAGGGGCACGGTTGGGTTTAAAGGGGCACGGTTGGGTTTAAAGGGGCACGGTTGGGTTTAAAGTGGTACGGTTGGGTTTAAAGGGGCTTGGTTGGGTTTAACGGGGCACGGTTGGGTTTAAAGGGGCACGGTTGGGTTTAACGGGGCACGGTTGGGTTTAAACGGGCACGGTTGGGTTTAAAGGGACATGCTACGGTTTAAAGGGACATTCTTGGGTTTGAAGGGACATGCTTGGGTTTAAAGGGACATGCTTGGGTTTAAAGGGACATGCTTGGGTTTAAAGGGACATTCTTGGGTTTAAAAGGCACACGGACGGGTTTAAAGGGACACAGTTCGGTTTAAAGGTACATAAAAGGGCATATTAGCATCAGCCGAGATTTATGTTGACACATTACATTTTAAAGGCATATCCTGAGTTTAAGTACACGTGTTGCTGCATAAGGCTGCATGTTGGGGTTTAAGGGCATGTTTAGGAGTTCAAGGCTTTAAGGCATTTCTTGGGGTTTACTGCAGTTTAAAAGAATCAAAGGGGCACGTGTGGGGATGCGGGAGGTTGAGGGTCACAGCGTCTCCCCCGGACTCTCCACCGCGTCCCCCACAGCCAGAACCACAACACGTACGCTGGTTCGTTTCTTATTTTCTATCAACTGGAAAGTTCCTCTTAAAAATATAAATACAGCGGTGACGATACTTACAAAACCACTAAAATAACGGGGAACGGGGGAGGGGACGTTGAGCGTCGAGTCCACACGAACTGCGCACAGTTACACCAACGGGGGCAGCCCGGCGATTCCAGCAACAACAAAGACAACGACGCTCTCAAGCCACCGGCGTGTCGCTCGCACGTCCGACGGTCGTCGCCGAGGATCTGCGATCGACCGATCGGAACGGTCGATCGCCGGAGCCGAGCGGCGGCGTCAGCCGTCGTCCATGCTGAAGCTGCCCTGCCGGCTGAGCGAGCGCGGCGAGAACGGCGAGAGCAGCGAGTCGGAGAAGTTGTCCTCCAGGAGCATGTCCTCCAGGCGCGACGTCGGGTCCGGCTCCGGGGAGTAGACGCCCGGCAGGCGCTCGTCCACCGCGAAGCCGCTCGACGCTCCCCTCGCATCTCCGCCGCCTCCGCCGGCCGCCACCGCCGGGCCGAAGTGCGGCGTGCCGTCGGCGAGGTCCGGCGTGCCGTGGGCGCCACCGCACGACGGAGGAGCCGAGCAGAAGAAGTCGCCGTCGCGGCGAGCGGCGGCGCCGTTGTCGCCGCCGCCGCCGCCGCCCGGCGTCTCCTGCTTGATGGGCGGAACGTCGGGCGGCACGGAGTAAGCGATGGGCACGCCGTGAGCCTGGGCCTGCATCTCCAGCTCCTGTGGGGGACGGAAGAGGAGAGAGGTGTCGATGGCCGCGCCGGGCTAGGTGCGCGTCAACGGCCGCGCGCATTTCGCACCGAGCCTGGCGAAGCCGCGGCGGCGTCGCGGCCGCCGCTCGAAGCAGAGCCTGGCGGCTCGGATCGTTCGGCAAAGGCGGCCGGGGGAGCGCGGCGACGCCGCTCCCACCTGCAGGCGGAGCAGCAGGCTGCGGTTGGTGTGCTCCAGGCGCCGCTGCCTCAGCTCCATCTCCTTGGCTCTCTGCTGCTCCTTCTGCATGCGGCGGATGTAGTCGACGGACGCCTTGAGGATGGTACCCTTGTTCCAGCGCGTGTCCCTGCAATGCGCCGCATCGCGCACGCTTTGGATTTGCGCCATCCCAGACAACGACAACGGACTCGGTTTAGTGCGGTGACACGGCACGCGCGGACACAGGCAGAGTGGCGCGCGGACGCACGGACCCACAGATACACGGACGATGAATGCACACATGAACAAGCGGGAAGGGAGCCCAAACCAGCATCAACAATTGCCCAAGCTCTGTACTCCTATTGGATTGTTTGTCTAAGTCCATGACTGAGCGTTCATACACATGGCAGGAAACCGGAGCACTTCGGGGAAAAGCCATGAGTGCAAGAGGGTAACTCTCAATCCCCGTACAGATGGAAATGAACCCACTTGCTGTACTGCCATCGTACCGTGACCATAAGCCAGGAGATGGCGACCTCGAGACCCACGGGTAGGAAGGGCATTTCCACGAGCGGGCGTGTGATCCACCAACCCTTGCTGCTTCCACAGCGCTGGGCTATAGGCCAACTCAGTCTACGTGAGTCTATGGGTCTCTCTGCGAGTCTATGGGTCTCTGTGCGAGTCTATGGGTCTCTGTGCGAGTCTGTGGGGCGCTAACTTAATTAACAAAACATTCAACACATCTGCCAATAACACTGCGGCCTTAAAATTTTATAATAAATATATGGCAACGTTTCTGGAGGTAGGCGTTCTTCATAGCCCATGAAGAAGGGCTGTTGCCCGAAACATCGCCTATATTTACTTATTTATTTTATTTCAAGGCCACACACGGACACAGTGCTTTTGTTGGCACGGAGCATGTTGAGCCACTGCTGCTGCTGTTGTTGTTGTTTTTTGTTGTTGTTGTTGTTTGTTGTTGTTGTTTGTGCGTCACTGCGTGCTCTGTGTGAGTCGCTGGGAGCCGGTGACTCACGGGTCGCTGGACTTGGGGATGAGCGTCCCCAGCTCCTTGATGCGGTCGTTGATGTTGAATCTCCGTCGTCGCTCAACTGCCGGGGACAGACGTGGGGTTAGAGGGGTCCCGGCGGATCGCGCGTGTGCCCTGCGGCGGCGTCGCCTGTGCCCTGCGGCAAGAAAGGCCTGGGTTCGAGTCCCAACTCGGGGGGCCTTTCTGCGTGCAGTTTGTATGTTCTCTGCATGGGTTCCCTTCCGGTTCTCCTGCTTCCTCTCACAGCTTAATAACACTCACACAGTGGAATCGGTATCAGCCCAAACATCCCAATGCTAACAAATCACCTGCATATTACTCGACGGAGATGACACACCTTCAGCGGAAGCCATGCCCGCTGTTGCGAAAACTTGTCAGAATCCTGGTGGTGGGCCTACTCTTACACGCTCGCCCTATGCCTTGGGAGTAGCGCAGCGCGGTCGTCACGCAGGAGGGCGCCGCTGCGATTCACATACACGGCCTGCAGCAGCTTCACCGTGGGGACACGGCGGCAGCTGCTGCTGCGTGCGATTCCACTTGAGTGGAACACGATGGCCGACTCGATGGCGCGTGCCGCGATTACCGCCATCAGGTAACGCCGTGTTAGCCACGGCCGCCTGCCGCATTCGAACCGCAAACCTTTGCAACGAGCTGCGAACGGAACACGCTGCTGCCGGGACACGTCACCGGCCCGTGAGTACCCACACTTTCACCCTCACCACGCGCCACCTGCCCCTGTGTGCTTGCAGAGCGACTCGTACTCAGGTTGTGGTTGTCCTTCTTCTGGCGCTCCTTCACGATGGCTCTTGCTTCAACTTCTGCCGGAAAAAGCCCGGAATGAGAGACGCACACTCGCACTCTCTTGCACTCGCACACACTCACACACACTCACACTCGCACACCCTCGCACACACTCACACACACTCACACTCGCACACACTCGCACACACTCACACACACTCGCACTCTCTCGCACTCGCACACACTCACACACACTCGCACACCCTTGCACACACTCACACACACTCACACTCGCACACACTCGCACTCGCACACACTCACACACACTCGCTCTCTCTCGCACTCGCACACACTCACACACACTCGCTCTCTCTCGCACTCGCACACACTCACACACACTCACACTCGCAACACACTCGCACACACTCACACACACTCGCACTCTCTCGCACTCGCACACACTCACACACACTCGCACTCTCGCACACTCGCACACACTCACACACACTCGCACTCTCTTGCACTCGCACACACTCACACACACTCGCACTGTCTCACACTCGCACACACTCACACACACTCGCACTCTCTCGCACTCGCACACACTCACACACACTCGCACTCTCTCACACTCGCACACACTCGCACTCTCACACACTCACACACACTCGCACTCTCTCACACACACTCGCACTCTCTCGCACTCTCTCACACTCGCACACACTCACACTCCTCGCGCTCTCTCACACTCCTCGCGCTCTCTCACACTCGCACGTGCGCGTGTGGGTGCGTACCTGGCGCGGTATGTAAACATCACCGCTGCCGGGCGTGGTACTGGCCGCCGGACCCCATGCTGGCCTACATGGGCGGTGCGCGTTAACAGCGCTTGCTCCAGCAGCCTGTGGAAGCTCACCGGGGGGGATCTTTTTTCCGTGTGTGTGTGCACGCCCACTCGCTCGTACCGGTCACCTCCTGCTTGACGTTGTCCAGCGTGGCCGGACACGAGGAGCTGGTGAGCGCCACGGCCGGCACTGCGAGCGTCTGGCCCCCATAGCCGTCGTAGAGGCTGCTCGACAGCGGCAGCTGGGGGCACGCACGGGCGAGAGACACGGGCAGGTGAACACGGGCAGGTGAACACGGGCAGGTGAACACGGGCAGGTGAACACGGGCAGGTGAACACGGGCAGGTGAACACGGACAGGTGAACACGGACAGGTGAACACGGGCAGGTGAACACGGACAGGTGAACACGGGCAGGTGAACACGGACAGGTGAACACGGGCAGGTGAACACGGACAGGTGAACACGGGCAGGTGAACACGGACAGGTGAACACGGGCAGGTGAACACGGACAGGTGAACACGGGCAGGTGAACACGGGCAGGTGAACACGGACAGGTGAACACGGAGAGGTGAACACAGACAGGTGAACACAGAGACATACCGATCCACGGACAGGTGAACACGGACAGACACATACAGAGACACAGAGGGGAACACACACACAAAGACGGAGAGACTGACAAGGACAGAGACACAAAGATACAAACGCGACGCACACGCGTGCCAAATACACAACACAAGCGACGCAAACGTGGCACACACAACGCACGTGTTACACACACACGTGATGCACACGTGTGGCACGAACCGTGTTGGTGACTTCCAGGCGGGCGCCTATGCCCGTGTAGGGCTCGTCGTTGTAACTCGACTCCAGGCTGATGATGTCATCGATCACGTCGTCCATCTACACGCCGGAGACACACCGCGGTCACCGCATGGCATCTTTCACCGTGCCGGCGTGGCGTTCACCGAGCCAGCGTGGTGCTTCCAGCATGACGAGGCATTTACCATATCGGCATGGCAGGTTGGCAGACTCCACGAGGTCGGCTGCTGCTGCTGCTGCTGAGCCCCGCTGAGCTCGCGCTCGGAATTCGAGCCGATGTTCAACATGGCCATGGGGCTGTTGGGGGCGCTGCTTCCCACGCTCGTGTGCAGCTGCTGCTGATGATGATGCTGCTGATGCTGCTGCTGCTGCGGCAAAGGCAGGGAGCCCCCCGTGGCCTGCCCCCCACCCGGCTGAGCCTGCGGGGAGCGAGCCAGCGACTGGCTCGCCACTTTGTACCCGAGCGTCGTTGACAGGAACTGCTTGAGCTGCTGCCGCTGGGACTGCTGGATGTGGTACCGCGTCGGGTTCTCCAGGTGAGTCTGGACCTGCGAGCGAGAGCCAGAAGTAAAGTTTAAAAAGGTTAGAACGCGAGAGGCCAGGGTAGGAATCTCGTCGGCAGCAGCAGCAGGAGGAGGAGGGTTCTGGGTCGTCAACCACGACGAGATGCCGTTTGGAAACCCCTTCTTTAAGTTGACCTCTGGTTCATACACAGTAGAGAGCAGCACTTTCTGCCGTGTGAGAATAATGCTCGTCACATGACCGTCAAGCCGATAACTTTAATTCCCAGAGATTGAGTTTAGCCAATTTGTGTAGAGGCAAAGCAACAAAGATCTATGGTTCTCTGTGCGATACATTTATAATCGGGCTAAGACTATCAACTATACACATGAGGTCCCGGTTTTATTACAGTTGGCTGAAACCTGGACTCGAACTAAGTTACTCTGACCTCTGCACCACCCAGCCACTGCTCGTAATTTGGATTAAAAACAAACTTGCAGACGAGTGAACGTCGCTGTTCCCTGTCGTGGGACCAGGACCGGAAAACCGGATTATCTTCCAGCCCGAACATTAGAAACCCCGCTCGCCAATTAACCCTCCTACTCGTCTCTAAGCTCTGGCTCTGCGAGCGCTGACTACGAGCCAGTGTTTCTCAGCGACCGTGAGCGCCGGTTTAACTCGTTCGCGGTGGGCCGAGCGGTTCCGCGCGTCGCCACTTGCAAGGCAGGTGGACATTGGTCACCTCGCAAGTCGCCATTCGCTCGGGAAGCGGTCCTAAATAATCGTTGTTGGCGTTCTCACAGATTCCCAAGTCTATCACGAAACAAGACGGCGGGCGTCGCGTGAGCCGCTCCCCCCTCTCACCTTCAGCACCTCCATGGGGACGGGGGGCAGGGGGGGCCGTGCCGGCAGGCTCATGGAGATGGCCGGGCTGGGGGGCGGTCTGGTCACCAGCGGCACCAAGTCCGACCGGTGCTGCCCCGTGAGCGATCCGCACTGCGTGCCTTGCTGCTGCTGGTAGTGCTGCTGCTGCTGGTACTGGTGCTGTAGCTGCTGTTGCTGGTGCTGCTGGTGCTGCTGGTGCTGGTAGTGCTGCTGCTGCCGCCTCTGTTGCAGCTCCCTTCTCTCTTGCTCCTGCAGCTGCTCCCGCATGAGCTCCTGGCGGAGCTGCACACGGGATGACATCGTGCTGCCGCTGCTGCTGCTGCCGGTGGTGGTGGTGGTGGCAGGGCACGCCGACGGACACACGCACGGGTGGACGGACACACGGGCGTGGGAATCCTCCCTGCCCCGATCCGGTTCGCGGATTACTCCTGCAAAGGGGAGAGGGGGTAGGGGGGGCACGGAGGGGGGGGAAGGTCAAAGTCACACTAATGGCGCTGGCTCGGGTACCACGGAGAGCGATACCGTCCGGCTCACGCACTGCCCATTAGAGGGGCCTCCACCAAAGGCAGATTGAGGGAGGCCCTCCACAATGGATTTGGCCTACTTTTCCACAACGCTGGTATACACCTTGAGGGTAACGGAAATAATCTGACAGAACAAATGAGACGGAAATTAAGAGACTGGCAGTACAAATGACACAATACAAACGGGACAATTTATACAACAACAGAAAACATGGATTCTAGAATTTATATCTATCACAATCTTAACAGCTAATCAAACTGCGGAATAATATTAACTTACTTCACCTAAACAGCACTCATCCTGACAGCGGTCACGATCTCTGTGTGTCTTCCAATTGCTGTGGGCATCATGTCACGAGATGAATATTGCTTTAGTTCAGAACCCGCACAGAAAGTAGTGCACCACCCTGTGTCAGAGAACTGTCTCAAATCATGTGAAGTCACACGGCTGCTTCTGCCGTCACTTCAAACCGGCCTCGACGCCTCTGCACAGAAGTTGTGAGTTCAATTCCGGGTTGGCGGCAGGGGTTGACTCTGCACATCATCCCTTCCTCCAGGGGGGAGGCTTGATAAAATGAGCACCACATTGTGGCAAAGTCCGTCAATGGCCTTGCAGGACTGTAAATGTCTCAATGCTCATTTGAGCAACGGTATGTGGCTCTGACTTATGACTGAAGTTGCTTCAACGGGCAACTTCATCTCCACTAGAAGCACACACCCTTCTGACAGACCGATGCCAACTTTCAGAATGTCGGAGGCTGTGTCACCTTGTGCTACACAGGCAGAGCTGCCGTCAGGGGGTGCTCTATGTTACAATACTAACAATAATAATAATGATAGAGCCGGGCACTGGCGCGAGCAGCCTGGAGAGGGTAATCGTGAACGTAGTTCGCCTACTTAGAGCTGCACACCCGGCAACTATTGTCTCTGATTTATCTGTGGAGTCGTTGGTGACTGAGACCACCGACTCTCCGCACCTGAGAACCCGGGTGGCTGAGACTCCAACCCACGATCTTAGCCGTGCCAGTTCCGCCTCCCTGGCACGGCCATTGTGAACCCTCTGAGCCAAGGGGTCACCTCAAAAGTCTGAAGCGCAAGGATGTGCATCGGCTTCTCATTAATATTCTTGGTTCTTTCGGTAAAGCCACGTAGAAGGCTTCTAATTTGTTTGATTCGGTTCCTTCGGGCGACAGTCCCCGCCAGGCATTGTTAGCACGGCACGCAAACCCCGGCTGTGGGGGACGCACCATCGGTCCGTCCCTTGAGTAGCCACTGTTGAACAAAGGAGCAAAGCCTTCAAGAAAAACCCTCCTAATCTCCCCGGCCCGCCTCTCGGGAGAAGACGTCAGTTCTGGGAATCCGACGCAGGGCTCCACTGAGGTTGGGCCCGAGAGTTAATTGATAAAGTCAGACGGGTGGAGGCATGGCGGGGGGGAAGTTCCTGTGCAGCCACGGCGATTACTGTGACATGGCTAATTGCAGGATGGGGTATTGTGGGGAGTGAGTGGGTGGGTAGGTACGTGGTTGGGTGAGTGAGTGGGTGGTCGGTGGTTACGGTGGAAGACATTGGGAGCAGGAGCAAAGAGGGATGACCGACAGGTCTGAGAAGGGAAAACTCTTCCCGTGGAGTTTTGTACATTTTATTTCAGTGATCTGTTCCCCGGCGTAACCCCCCGATTGCGCCACCGGCGTAGCGGCGCCACGAGACGAAGGACCCGCTCGGAAGCCTGCACCCACACACACACCCTCACACTCACCCACACACACACCCACACACTCACCCACACACTCACCCACACACCCACACACTCACACACACACTCACCCACACACTCACCCACACACACACCCACACACTCACCCACACACCCACCCACACACTCACACACACACTCACCCACACACTCACCCACACACTCACCCATACACTCACCCACACACCCACCCACACACACTCACCCACACACTCACCCACACACTCACCCACACACTCACCCACACACTCACCCACACACTCACCCACACACACACCCACACACTCACCCACACACCCACCCACACACTCACACACACACTCACCCACACACTCACCCACACACTCACCCATACACTCACCCACACACCCACCCACACACACTCACCCACACACTCACCCACACACTCACCCACACACTCACCCACACACCCACCCACACACTCACCCACACTCACCCACACACTCACCCACACACCCACCCACACACTCACCCACACACCCACCCACACACTCACCCACACACTCACCCACACACCCACCCACACACTCACCCACACACCCTCACACTCACCCACACACACACCCACACACTCACCCACACACTCACCCACACACTCACCCACACACCCACCCACACACTCACCCACAGACACACACACTCACCCACACACTCACCCACACACCCACCCACACACTCACCCACACACTCACCCACACACTCACCCACACACCCACCCACACACTCACCCACACACTCACCCACACACTCACCCACACACACTCACCCACACACTCACCCACAAACTCACCCACACACTCACCCACACACCCACACACTCACCCACACACTCACCCACACACCCACCCACACACTCATCCACACACTCACCCACACACTCACCCACACACCCACACACTAACCCACACACTCACCCACCCACCCACACACTCACCCACACACCCACACTCACCCACACACTCACCCACACACCCACCCACACACTCACCCATACACTCACCCACCCACACACTCACCCACACACTCTCACACACACTCTAGGTCATAACAATTCCCTTTCTGATTCTTCCCTCGCATTGCTCCTTAGTCTCAAGGTCTATGGAGTTGGTTACGTTTTAGTTTAGTTTACTTGTTACATGGTCCCATTCAGCCAGTTGCCTGGCTATTTTTTACGTAGTGAGTGAGCGCAGCAGCAAAAAAACAAGAACATTGACATCGCAGAGGCCAGGATCCTTAAGGTATATTGCACAACTTATTCATATATATCCATAATTAAACCGTTATAATAAGAGCCAACCAACTAGCATGGTTGGCTATGTACGGTGCGAAAGAAGTTAAACATACAGAACTTTCATAGTGCTGTCTGTTGGTCGCTGCTTGAAGTTTTCACACCTTTAGCCTGTGCTCAGTAACTGTGTTGATTTTAAAACCGGGTCCTCGAGTGATGGACTCATTCCGATCACCAATGGCTCACAGAGACTCAGAGATCCACATAAAGCCCCACAGACTGACGCAGAAAGCCACAGACTCGCACAGAGAGCGTGTAGTGCGACACACCCCACCAGGCGCGGCACCGGTGAGAAGCCCTCATCGTCGCCGTGACAGTGAGGTCACGGCAGGTCTCGCCGGGCGTGAGATGCGCCGCCTGATTACCCCTCGCCTCTCGCGGGCGACGGGGCCAACCCGGGTCACGCCGCGCCGCCCACACCGCCGCCCGCCAGCTGCGGGGACGGCCACCCGGGCGCCCAGCACCAGGAATGCGGATCGCGAAGGCGCTGCGCGCGGAGCGTCGATTTGTCGAGAGCGTGCCGCCACACACGGCCCCCCGTCACCGCTGTCGCCGCCGCTTCTCGCCCTGTCGCTCCGCCGCGAGAACGCACTACGCGTGCCGCCCGAGACCGACCACCACACCGCCTCGCTGTCCTTCACAGGGACATTACTCTGGACATATATAGGGATATTATTATTATTATTGGCATCTATTAGGGCATTGAATTTGATTTGAATGCGGCGGGAACTATGTGCAGGGCATGTGAGGAGCTGCGTAGTCTGTTGAGAATGAGAAGCAACTTCAAAGGACCTCAGAATTAGTTCTGTGGTGTCATCTTTTCCTGGAGGTCGATCTAACTCAAGGTGGGGCAGGTACACGGGCGATCGTTTATCTTTGCCGTTCAGCAATGCGTGGCTACACCGCTAGGTGGAGACAAGAGGGGCTGGCAGAGGAGGGAGACGTGGGGAGTGATTTGGCGCTTGCAACAAGAGTTGCACTGGCATTTTTTTATGTGTTTATGGACTAAATCGCTCGCAACGTAAACTAAACAGATGTCTACACCAATAAATAGCCAGGCGAGGAATACACACAGTTGTATGTACCACACAGCAGCCAGGTCCAGGGATAGATGGACAGAGAGATGGGTTAATCGGTAGAAGGATAGGCAGCATACAGATGGATATGGAGTTAAACAAGACAGGAGTTATACCTCTATACTACTGGAGAATGAGTCCATGCAATGGCTGGCATCCCACATTAGACAGAGAGATAGAAGCAGGCAGATAGATACATTGACACAGATACGTCACTGGTCTTTTTCTTCTCACACAGCTTAAAGGTCGTGGTCTAAGCGTGGCTTCTTCCACTCCAGCGCTAATTCCTTTGTCAAGGGGTACCTCTGCGGATGTGTATACTTTAACTTAGCTATTTCAATGAGCCATTTCAATGCTAAATTATATGCTAATTCCTTTGTCAAGGCGCGTGGTCTTTTTCTTCTCACACAGCTTAAAGGTCGTGATCTAAGCGTGGCTTCTTCCACTCCAGCGCTGTCCTCCAGACAGTCTCGTCCCTTCACCTGATGAAGGCCGCTTGTGTTGTGGCCGAAACGTCGTGATTTTTTGTTATTTTATTTTCACCTACGTGACTTTACCCAATAGAACCAAAGAGTACAGATACGTCCTTTGGCCATGACCAGGTAGGAGCCCACTCAGAGTGCAGTGGGGGTGCAGTGGTTAGCATACTGCTCTGTTCCCAGCTACGGCTAACATCAGTGGCGAATGATAATCTGAACTGGGCCTGGCCCCGTCCACTTCCATCAACCTGCACTAACCTGATTGGAGAAGTATGGCCAAACAACT